GCTGGAACGGAATGAATGGAATGGTCTCAAAGAAAATCGAAACACCTGGTTTCCATGGTTTCCATGTGTTTGATATCATTCCATTTACTCCAATCCATCCATTATTATGAGCCGTTCTCCCCTCACCAGTTTCCTCTGATGTAGAGGGAGTAGTAGTTTGGAACACTTGAACCAAATCTAATGTACTGTAATCATACCCATGATGATGGTAGTAATCATATGAAATCATTTCCCTCTCTAAATTTCCCTCATTTAGTTTTAATTAAAATTTGGACACTTGTTTGATTGTGGCTCAAAATTGTTTCCCTTTGCAATGAACTGGAAGTCATTTGGAATAAGCCCAAAACTGTGAGCTAAGTCAGTTCTAAGTAAAATTTGATTCCCCCAAAGCCCGGCTACTTTTACAAAACGGTGTTTTGTTTGGGGGTGTGTGTTTCTGTGTGTGTCTGCTGCGTTTCTGCGAGCGTGGGGGCATGATTTTTATGTGGTTGTTTTTAGCGGTTCTTTGCAAAATTTTTAGCCCGGGAAGCTTTGAAGCCGTCTTTATTTTTCCTTTGGGAATAAAAAAGGAAAATTTTCCCTTTCCCCCCAAAAACAAAAATCCTCTCGATTTAAACCTCAACGATACCTCGGAAAAAGACAGGGGGGGTTCAAGCATCTGTAAAAATCCCTTCCCAACTTTTTTCATTTCTTGCTACCCCATCACCCCCCCTTGCTACCCATACTACCCCCCCTTTCTACCCTACTACCCCCCCTTACACCCATACTCCCCCCCTTATTACCCATCACCCCCCCTTATTCCCCTACTACCCACCCCCTTTTCCCCCACCCATAACCCCCCCCCCTTACACCCATACTACCCACCCCTTACTACCCCAAATACCCACCCCTTACTACCCAATAAACTACCCACCCCACCCCTTTCTACCCACCCCACCCCTTACTCCCATACTACCCACCCCTTGCACCCATACACCCACCCCATCTCCCACCCCTTTCTACCCCTACTAAACCCCCACCCCTTTTTACCCCCAAATACCCACCCCTATTACCCCCTACTACCCCCCCCTTACCCCTATACCCACCCTTAAACCCTTTACTACCCACCCCTTACTACCCATACTACCCCCCCCATACTACCCACCCCTTCTACCCATACTAACCCCAAACCCTTCTACCCATTACTAACCCCACCCCTTACTCCAAATATACCCACCCCTTACTACCCATACTACCCACCCCTTACTACCCATACTACCCACCCCTTACTACCCATTCATGGGATTGTTGTCCTTATGAGGGCTCTTATTGAGTTAGTGAAATCAAATCAAATCTTTGATCTAGCTATCTCTACTGTTATATCACCCTTCTCTCTTTCACTCTCCCTTCTCTCTATCTTTCCCATGTCTGATCTCTTCTCTCCTCTGTGTACAGTGTGTGTGTGTGTGTGTGTGTGTGTGTGTGTGTGTGTGTGTGTGCGTATGCGTTTGTGTGTGTGCATTTCGTGTATCCATGCATGTGTTTGTGTTTGCCAGCACTCTGGCCTCTCTTTCCCTGACTCAGCATGTTAGATTTATGCAAGCTTGAGGCAAGCTGCTTCCTGTGAGAGGGAGGTGGTCCCCCAGGCTGTGGTATACACACTGGCAGGCAGGGACCGGTGTGTCTGTGTGTGTGTGTGTGTGGAGATTGATTTACTATGAAGCTCTCACATATCTGTGGTGTGTGTGATAAAGTGTATGTGCTCTCATGCGTTAGTATGTGTGTGTGTGTGTGTGTGTGTGTGTGTGTGTGTGTGTGTGTGTGTGTGTGTGTGTGCGTGCGTGCGTCTTAGAGTTAGATAGAGTATGTGTGTGCTTGCATCTACATTGACAGTGACTGATGGAGCAGTCACCTTGCTCATCTCAAGGTGAGCTAATGTACCATCCAGCCAGGGTCTCTGAGACAGACTAGAGAGTTAGACCCTTTTCACACTTTGACAGATTCTCTAGAGGTTTTGAGAGAATACCCTCGGCTATACCTTTTTTAATAATGTGTAACTTGCGAACTTGCCACATCTCTAGCGCTACCTCCTGATGTAGCGTACGACAGTTGCCCCCCTCCTAGCAGGGCAGTGTAAACACAATTGTTTCGTTGAGCCCAACGCTCTTACAGTATAAATGTTAATAGCAGAGCAATGATTTTGAAACAGCTGAAATGTAGAGACATCTTCCTAATATTTGAGACTTGTTTTATTGAGTTTTTACCTGAAATGCAGTACCATTCTGTTACATTCTGAAATTGCCGGCTGCACTGAGCCACGTAGAACTATGGAAGGTCATCCCCACCACCAAAATAAATCTACAATGTTGATAGCAGATCATACCAAAATGATATGTTGTTTCATTTTTAACATTGTGTGATGATTTCAGAGGTGGCACCACAGGTCCACAGGTCCCAGAGTGGTGGTGTTTTCCTGGGGCCCAGAGTTTTTCCTGATCTGGTAGGCTAACCTAACCAACTCAAGACACTAGTTTTAGGGTATGACATATTAAGTAATCAACTGTAAAAAAATAAATATATACAATAATAATAATAATAATAATAATAAATATAATAATAATAATAAAGGGTTTTATATGGGCTATTATGGGACCAGAAATGTGTTAGTTTTTCCTGGAAAAACTCCTGGCCCTAGGGAGGATGAAACTGCAGCAATCTTGTACTTGTTCATATGAATTATATAAAAACAATTACAGGGGGGGTCCTTTACACAGACAAAGAGACAACAACTGCGATTGGACAATAGAACTAATAACAGGGCTGAGCTTGCTTTATGTAGTTGCATCGTGTAGGCCTTTCCGTCGGTAATTAATTAAGTTATTCATACAGTATGTCATCACTATTGTGTTGATCGATTCCAGTCAATAATTTTGGATTCAAAAGGCCTAGGTAGCCACCCGAAGTTTGAATATAAACAAAATTTGATCACATTCACATTTTCTCAGAACACAAATAAATAGGCCTATATTAGGCTATAAATACATAGCTTAGGCTATGAATATATGACGTTACCACTTCGTTTCCCTTGACCAGGCCCAGATGGGATCAGAAGGGATCTAAGCTACCTGCAGCTGTGGTTGTTATAGGCTGCAGTTGATCAGACAGATTAATTGTGCACGAGTTGACAAATCATGAGGCATTTCAATGTATTTATTTTTTGGGGTGGCGGGTATGAGCTTCCATATAAAACAGCTCGTCGCTTGTCGCAGCTCCCCAGTGAATTCACTCATACTCTGAGTGTTCAAAACATTATCTCTTTCCATGTCACGGACTGACCAGGTGAAGAGCTATGATCCCTTATTGATGTCACTTGTTAAATCCACTTCAATCGGTGTAGATGAAGGGGAGGAGACAGGTTAAAGAAGGATATATGTCAAGAACTGCAACGCTGCTGGGTTTTTCCACGCTCAGCAGTGTCCTGTGTGTATCAAGAATGGTCCACCACTCAAAGGACATCCAGCCAACTTGACACAGCTGTGGGAAGCATTGGAGTCAACATGGGCTAGCATCCCTGTGGAACGCTTTCGACACCTTGTCCATGGCCTGACGAATTGAGGCTGTTCTGAGTGCAAAAGGGGGTGCAACTCAAAAGTAGGAAGGTGTTCTTAATGTTTTGTACACTCTGTGTATATTATACCCATGTTTTCAGTCGCCTTTATCACATGTAGGCCAAATGATTTGTATGATATTGATAAAAATGAAGCGTGACTTGTTGCAATGTTGTAAGGTAGGCCTACTGTACATTTATATTGGTATGAGAAGGGTAGTAGGCCTAGTCGTTCATGTTTGATAGGCTAACGTTACTTGATGAAGACATGCTGTTAGCAACTCTGTGCTTTTGTCTTGAAGCTGAAATGTATCGAGTGTAGCCTACAGACAAGACAATAATCCCTTTAATGTCTACACATGCTTGTGAATTGTTGCATTATTCAAGAGTGTAATGTAGTTTGGTTCCGTTATTCAAACGTGTATGTCAGTGTTGATGTGGGTGCGGTTGAGGAGTCAGACGCAGGACGCATAGGCTGAGTCAAACAAGACTTTACTAACTGTATAAACAATACAAAATAAAGGACCTCAAAACAAGGAGACGAGCGACAACGCAACACAGTGCGTAACAATAAACAAAGTCCAGAGTACTGCACAGGTGACACCAACGGACAGGCGGACAATAACACACAAACTAACGAAAACAACACATGAAACTTATAGGGCACATAATCAGACACAAACGGACACAGGTGTAACAGACAGACCCAACCAAACGAACATCGAAACATACAACGGTGGCAGCTAGTACTCCGGGGACGACGAACGCCGAAGCCTGCCCGAGCAAGGAGGAGGAGCAGTCTCGGCAGAATTCGTGACAGTGTAATATGGTTCAGATGAAAAGTCGCTTGCATAGTTGAAGCATGCTGGCTAGTGGCTATATTGTGATACAGTATTTCATAGGGATATTTACGGTAAATGTCTGTTGCCAAGTACCAAACCCTCTCATGGCACATGACGCTCCGTTGCTAATGTGAATTGAAAAGTTCAGACCCCTTGACTTTTTCCACATTTTGTTATGTTACTGCCTTATTCTAAAATGGATTAAATATTTTTTTCCCCTCATCTACACACAATACCCCATAATGACAAAGCAAAAATAGGTTTTTAAAATATTTGCAAATTTTTATATTTTTTAAAACTTAATATC